ACTCTGCCATGTGCCACTTTCAGGTCTCCTCACACTGCTGGTGGGTTCCATTTTGTCATAGGGTGCTGTATGGCCTCCCATTGCTGCTGCCTCCACCGCCACACTGTGGCTCCACACTCTGGTTTTGGCCCCGTGACTGCCCAAATGAGTGAAGTGTGCGGTGATTCTAAGATCGACGGCACTCATCTGCATGTCATACTGACTGACAGTATTATTTCTCTTCCCCAGCAGACTCCAAGGGCATTTAAATTAAAGGTACAGTGTTCTGCACTAATATAAAGGCTCTCTGAAGCCTAGAAACACCCTTTTTATAAGTTAAATTCGCAGCGAATATATTCGCACGAAGCGAATTTAATCGGCGAATTCGGCGAATCAGCCGAACCGAATTTTTGAATAATTCGCTCATCTCTAATAGCCATGTCTGGCTGCATGGCATTTTAAACCATGGATTTGTGATCACAAGTGTATACACTGGTTGCAATTAGTAGCCAGCCAGGAAGTACCCTTCCTGTCACACACACACAGAGTGAGATCTTAGTGCCAATTGTACCAGTTTCCCATTTTTCTGAAAAATGCTTGATTACAGCCAGTGCCAATTTTCCAGTTCTACTGATCATTGCAAAGGCTAGGTTCACACCTATGCAGGTTGTGTTTGAGCCATTTCTGCATTGTGTTTTGCATTGCGTTTTATGTTTTTGCACCTGCGTTTTTGCCACGTTTTTGATCCGTTTTGGGTTTTTTTTTTTTTTTTTCTTGTTGCTAGGCAGATTTAAAACTCAAAACGCATCAAAAACAGATCCAAAAGGTGGCAAAAAATGCACTACATGCTTTTCTGCAGTGTTTCCATTGAAGTCTATAGAACCAAAAATGCAACTTTTTGTATTCAAATAATGCACCAGATGAAAATGCGGAGATGTGAACATGTCCCCATAGGAAATTATGTTAAATGGACTGTACTGCATTTCTGCAAAACGTTTCGGAAAAAGCTTAGGTGTGAACCAAGGGAAAGTCTGTGCTGCTAATCATAGGAAATGCCAGTGTTGCTGATCATGGCAAGTGTCAGTGTTGCTCATCTATCCTATGTCTTTATTTTATTGAACACAGTCAGTGCTAGTGTTTCCAGTTTGCTTATCTTAATCAGCACCAGTGCTTCTAGGTGGCTGAACACAGCCATCATCTGTGTTTACAACTGGATGATACCAGACAACACCAGTGTTTTTAGCTTCCTGATCAAAACCAGCACCAGTGTTTCTAGTTTAATGATCACAGTCAGTGACAGTGTTGCTGATCACAGCCAGAACTAGTGATTCTAGTAGGCTGATTACAGACAGCACCAGTACTTCCAATTTGCTGATCATAGTCAGTGCCAGTATTTCCAGTTTGCCAATCACAGCCAGGGCTTATTTTTTCAGTTTGCCGATCACAGCAAACACCAATATTTCCAGTTGCCGATCACAGCAAGCACCAATATTTCCAGTTGCAGATCACAAGCAAGCACCAATATTTCCAGTTGCCGATCACAGCAAGAACCAATATTTCCAGTTGCAGATCACAGCAAGCACCAATATTTCCAGTTGCCGGTCACAGCAAGATCCAATATTTCCTGTTGCCGATCAAAGCAAGAACCAATATTTCCAGCTGCCGATTACAGCAAGCACCAATATTTCCAGTTGCAGATCACAGGAAGCATCAATATTTCCAGTAGCCGATCACAGCAAGAACTAATATTTCCAGTGGTCGATCACAGCAAACACCAATATTTCCAGTTGCCAATCACAACAAGCACCAATATTTCCAGTTGCCGATCACAGCAAGCACCAATATTTCCAGTTGCAGATCACAGCAAGCACCACTATTTCCAGTTGCCGATCACAGCAAGCACCAATATTTCCAGTTGCAGATCACAGCAAGCTTCAGTCTTTCCAGTCAGTGCCAGCGTTGCCAGTTTCTTGATTGCTGCAAGTGCCAAAATTTCCAGTTTGCAGATCACAGCAAGTGTCAGCATTTCCAGTATTCTGATCATAGCTAGAGCCAGTGTTTTCAACTTGTTAATCACAGACAGTGCTAAGTGTTTCCAGGTTGTTGATCACAGCCAGTGCCAGTGCCTCTAGTGTTGCTGATTGCAGCCAGTGGCAGAGATTCCATTGATTGCTGATAACAGTCAGCATCAGTGTTTGCAGTTTGCTGAGCACACCCAGCATCAATGTTTCTAGTATGCTGATCACAGTCAGTACCATTGTTTCAAGTTTGCAGATCATAGCAGGCCCTAGTATTTCTAGTTTGCTGATCACAGTCAGTGCCTGTGTTTTAGGCATTGGGCTAGTGTCTCTTCATAGGACACATCATTTGCCAAATAGCAGGTAGACATGGTGGCAAGATCACCCCGTGACGTCACCAGGTGACCCACCCACATGTTTACCTGTCATTCGGTGAGTGACATGTTCTGTGGAAAGACACTTGCCCAATGACAGGTAGACATGAGGGGGGGGAATCACCCAGTGATGTCACCGGGTGACCCCGACCCCGTGTTTCCCCTCCTTGTCCCTGTATGGTATGGCCCCATTTTTGTTACTCCTCTAATTTCACATCCTTCATCTTGGGCAGGACTTGAATGTTTGGCTACTTCTGGGACCTTGATGCTTGCATTCCTCTTTTGCTTCCCTTTTTTTTTTCTTCTTTCCCCTTACCCTTGCCTTTCATATCTATCCATTCTTCTGCTCCCTCATGCGTCAAGTTACTACTGCCCTATTATGCACACTGCTTAGGAGAAATTTTTGAGAGAGGGTCACCCCTCGATTACACTCGTATTTGATATACTGTTAAGCAAGTGCTTATTAGATAAAGATTTGATTTCTTATATGTATAACCTTGCGTACCCCTCTTCTTCTCAAATGTGTTTTTTATATTATGGAATATGTGCTGTACTACTATTATCTACTAATATCTACTGTACTCTTTTGTATCGTATATGAGTACTGTTTTTGACCTATATGCTCCGAAACCTTTCTAAACAGATTAAACATGATATAAAGCAGTATATCCCCAGTAAATGTGCCAGGTATGTGGTGAAGTTGTACAAATTGTCTGAGAGAAGATGTGGGTGTACATTTTATTTATGTGTCAGGTATACCACCTCTATATGGACAATTATTATTTCAGTGTACCACTTTTTAGGCATCTTGTGGGAAAGTGCAGCGTGGTGTGGCAGAGTAATTACACAGAGTTGCAGGAACAATAACTTGTAATAAAGGAAAGGCCCATCGAGAGAGTGCCAGTCCATAGAAACACACACAGTTCCAAGTGGCTTGTGCACACAGCAGGTTCAGATGCACAGACAGCGTCTGTCTCAGAGGGCAGAATGTAGCCTGCGCGGTCCCAGTGGGGAGGCTTCAGAGATAGGATATTATAAAATGACTTCCTGCGCTAAGAATGAGGCCCTATCCCTATAGCTGCTGACACTTAACCTCCTACCAATGTGAGTCCAATAATAAATAAATAAATAAATAGTGCAGCGCTAAACCCTAAATCTAAAGTAAATATATATATATAAATAAATACAAAATAAATATATATCTTATAAAAGTGCAACAGTGCAAATACAGTATTAATTGTATAAAGTGTAACACGTGTATTCCCTCCGGGAATAATCAAAGTGACCAAGTGATCAAATATATTCAATAAAGTGCAATTCGTGTATTCCCTAAGGGAATAATTAAGGTGACCAAGTGACCAAAACAAACAAAAATATATCACAACACACTCTAATATAAATCTCCACTCATTGGTAACATGTCCATATATATATAGTGTGTCAGGACACTAAACTGAGCATGTGCAGAGTGACCCATAGAACTCTGTACTATCAGATGTACTGGGGACAGTAGAAGAAGGGGAGGATCAGAGAAACAGGATCAAACAGCCTTTTTACACAATGTGGAATAACCCCTTAGGTTCCACAGTGAGTATAATAAGCATGCTTTACTGCATATACAGACAGATTTTACTGTTGTGAGTTTAGTAACATTTTAAAAACACTCTGCTGACCCAAGATGGCCACTAGCGGTCACCTGAATGCAGCATAGCCAACTGGAAAGCTGCCTCACGGGGCCTTGAAACCATAGAGGTTTTTCTTGACTTCCTCTCCAGCTCTGGTACTGCTCCAGTTGAGCACCACCTACAGTGGAAAAAGCAGAGTGCACCTGCCTACATAATTTTACTCAAGCAAACTGGAACTTGTCAAAGATTTTCCTCAAAGAGGGATATTCATGGTAGAACTGGTCTGGGTCCAATGTTAGTTTGTTCCAGAGAGTGAGAAGTTAGATGACGCTAGTAGCCTAATATCCACTTACTTGATTGACAATTGGTAGAAATAGTTGTAACACACGACCCTTTGTATTCTAAATATATGAAAAGTTGATGGGTCAGGAAAGTTGCAGCTGTTTCCCTACCAGTAACGTTGCTACAGTGATGCAATTGTCCCCCCTAAGTGATTCCTTACATCCCCTTGTGCCCTCCCCCCTCCTTCCTGCTAAATTAGGCTGCCGGGCTGATCGACCAACAGAGTGGGATTAACTGCCTTCTGCCTCTGTAAATTCACCAGTCTTCCAAGTTCCCTCAAAACTATTGGTCGCTAGGCCTGCCTAGCAACCAATCAGGTGCTTGAAGGACCTGGCATTCAGAGGATCTCTGCCTCCACCTCAAGTGCTATACTTTCCAGAAGAGGACTTGCTGTCTGGACTGGGACACTGCTGAGCTGAACTGTCGGGAGTATGAGGGGACCTGCATGCTGTCCGGGTTGGGACACTGCTGCTGATGTGAGTGAGGGTTCTGGGAAAAAGTGAGCAGAGGAGACCAGGCCTGAACATCTCCTGTAGTATTTCTGCAATCTCTTACCATCTCCTGTTGTATGTCTGCAGTCTCTGACCATCTCCTGTAGTATATCTGCAGTCTCTGACCATCTCCTGTAGTATGTCTGCAGTTTCTGACCATCTCCTGTAGTATGCCTGCAGTCTCTGGCTATCTCCTGTAGTATGTCTGCAGTCTCTGACCATTTATGTAGTATATCTGCAGTCTCTGACCATCTCCTTTAGTATGTCTGCAGTCTCTGACCATCTCCTTTAGTATGTCTGCAGTCTCTGACCATCCCCTTTAGTCTGTCTGCAGTCTCTGACCATCCCCTTTAGTCTGTTTGCAGTCTCTGACCATCCCCTTTAGTCTGTTTGAAGTCTCTGTGACCATCTCCTTTAGTATGTCTGCAGTCTCTGACCATCTCCTTTAGTCTGTCCGCAGTCTCTCTGACCATCTCCTGTACTATGCTTGCAGTCTCTCTGACCATCTGCTGTACTATGTCTGCAGTCTCTGACCATTTTTTCTAGTATTTCTGCAGTCTCTGACCATCTCCTGTACAATGTCTGCAATCTCTGGCCATCTCCTGTAGTATGTCTGCAGTCTCTGACCATTTTTTCTAGTACTTCTGCAGTCTCTGACCATCTCCTGTACAATGTCTGCAATCTCTGGCCATCTCCTGTAGTATGTCTGCAGTCTCTGACCATTTCCTGTAGTATTTCTGCAGTCATTGACCATTTCCTGTACTATGTCTGCTGTCTGTGAGCATCTCCTCTAGTATTTCTACAGTCTCTAACTCTCTTCTGTACTATGTCTGCAGTCTCTGATCATCTCCTGTAGTATGTATGCAATCTCTGATCTTCTCTTGTAGTATATCTGCAATCTCTGATCATCTCCCGTAGTATGTCTGCAGTCTCTGAACATCTTCTGAAGTCTGTCTGCAGTCTCTCTGACTATCTCCTGTAGTATGTCTGCAGTCTCTGAACATCTTCTGTAGTCTGTCTGCAGTCTCTCTGATCAACTCTTGTAGTATGTCTGCAGTCTCTGACCATTTCCTGTATTAATTCTGCAGTCTCTGACCATTTCCTGTAGTATGTCTGCAATCTCTGAACATCTCCTTTAGTCTGTCGGCAGTCTCTCTGATCATCTCCTGTAGTAGTTTTGCAGTCTCTAACAATCTCCTGTAGTATTTGTTGTCTTCTAAATTATGGGGTCCACACAGAAACAGTTCATAAGACAAATCTGTTGTCTTATATCAATAATGGAGGACATATGACCAGTGTATATTTATAAATGTACTTTTCCCGCAGCAACTAGTCCAAGGATCCTTTTCCAGAGAGATGCATTTATTCGGATAAAGATATTTGTTACAGATGACAGAAATCCAGCTAAATACTTATAGATATTACAATGAACAACAACTCTCAGAGTCCCATTTAACCACTTCCCGACCGGCCGTTGTATATAAACGGCCGGACGGTGGCAGTGCAGGGTCGGGTGGCCGTTTATAAACGTCTGCCCGCATCCGAGGCTCGTGCGCGGCTCCTAGAGCGCGCACCCGCGAGCCCGGTGATCGCCGTGTCCCTCGGATACCGGCGATCACCTGACATGGTACAGGACCAATGAAATTGGTCCTGTACCATGTGACCAACTGTGTCTAATAAGGACACAGTCTAAATGTAAATAGAAGCCGCATGGTGCGGCTTCCGCCCCCTTGACCGCACACGCGCGTGCCCAGAGATCGCCGGGTCCCTTAGATACAGGGGATCAGGTAACATGGTACAGGACCAATGAAATCGTCCTGTACCATGTGACCAATTAACTGTAAACAGAAGCCGCATGGTGCGGCTTCCGGCTCCTTCTCCTCACACGGAATTCTGTCTGTGAGAGAAGGAGTCGGATAGCCTGAGCAACAGCAAGCCTGATTGCAAGTGTCCCTAATTGTCCCTGATCACAGTGTCCCTGATTGTCCCTGATCACAAGTGTCCCTGACTGTCTGTCCCTGACCACAAGTGTCCCTGACTGTCTGTGCCTGACCACAAGTGTCCCTGATTGTCTGTCCCTGATCACAAGTGTCCTTGACTGTCTGTCCCTGACCACAAGTGTCCCTGATTGTCAGTGTCCCTGATCAAAAGTGTCCCTGATTTGTCAGTGACCAGTGTCCCTGATCGTCAGTGTCCCTGATCGTCAGTGCCCCTGATCACAAGTGTCCCTGATCACAAGTGTCCCTGATTGTCAGTGGCCAGTGTCCCTGATTGTCAGTGTCCCTGATTGTCAGTGTCCCTGATCACCAGTGTCCCTGATCACCAGTGTCCCTGATCACAAGTGTCCCTGATCGTCAGTGTCCCTGATCGTCAGTGTCCCTGATCGTCAGTGTCCCTGATCACCAGTGTCCCTGATCATCAGTGTCCCTGATCACAAGTGTCCCTGATTGTCAGTGACCAGTGTCCCTGATCGTCAGTGTCCCTGATCGTCCGTGTCCCTGATCACAAGTGTCCCTGATCACAAGTGTCCCTGATCATCAGTGTCCCTGATCACAAGTGTCCCTGATCGCCGCCACACTAGCAGATCCTGATCACAGCCATACCAGCAGATCCTGATCCCCGCCAAACTAGCGGGTCCTGATCCCCGCCATACCAGTGGGTTCTGATCGCCGCCACATCATTGGATCCTGATCACTGCCAAACCCACGGGTCCTGATCACCACCATACCAGTCCTGATCACCTGAGAGCCATTACAGCAAACTGTGAGTACTTTTTAGTCTTTGCACACAGTTTACACACACACTCACAAAAACATTGCCTGCCAGCTCACGGTATCTCTGATCTTTGCCCAACAGCATCTTGTGTAAACCAACCGCAGACAGCCATCTGTCCCTCACTACAGTAACATCAGACCACTGTACACCAGCACCATCATCCTGATCACCGCCATTCCAGTAGTTCCTGATCACAGTGCCAAAAATATGGCCAAAAGATTATATTCAAGCGAGGAGGCATTTCAAATTCTGAGTATGACAGATGAGAGTGACGGAGAACTCTCACTGTCAGACTCAGATTCTGTATATGAACCAGTACACAGCAGCGGTTCACTCTCTGAATCAGAAGAAGGTGTTCCAACAAAAAGAATGAGGAGCTCCAAGGACCAGCAAGCAACCACCAGCAGCTCAATACCTTCCTCTGACATGGCTAGTACCAGCAGTGTAAGTGCAAGTACTAGTACTCGGGTGTCACGTCAGCGACCAAGGGTCCATACTGCTGTCCCAGATGCACTTTTAAACCCTGTGTGGCTACCTACAGGATCACAAGCACCTATAATTCCCCCATTCATAGCCCAGTCAGGCATTCAGGTAGAAACTCAAAATTTTACAGCCATTGATTTTTCATTTATTTTTCACTGAAGATTTTTTGAATTCAGTCGTGTACGAATGCAATCTTTTTGCCCAGCAATTTATCACCCAAAATCCCAACTCCTTTAATGCCCGTCCATTTGAGTGGAAATGCCTCACAGTTGAAGAATTTAAAGTGTTTCTCGACCTTGCATTTAATATGAGACTAACAGAAAAAAATGAATTACATGCTTATTGGTCAACAAATCCCATTCATCACATGCCGCTCTTTTCTGCCACTATGTCCAGGACCCGCTATAGAACAATAATGCACTTTCTACATTTCAACGATAATTCCATGTGCCCCCCCAGAGATCACCCCGAGTATGACAAACTTTATAAAATTCGGCCACTGATCAATTATTTCAACCAAAGATTTTCAGAAATATATTGTCCTGAAAAAAACATCTGTGTCGATGAATCCCTAATCCATTTCACTGGGAGGCTGATCATAAAACAGTACATTCCAAGCAAACGGGCCAGATATGGTGTGAAAATGAACAAACTCTGCGAAAGGTCCACAGGATACGTGCACAAGTTCCGTATCTACGAAGGAAAGGACAGTCAGCTAGAGCCCCTTGAATGCCCAGCTTATATGGGGGATTAGTGGAAAAATTGTCTGGGACCTGGTATACCCCCTCTTCAACCAGGGGTACCACCTTTACGTGGACAATTTCTACACAAGTCTGCCCCTTTTCCGCCACCTTTATCTCAAGGACATTGTAGCCTGTGGCACAGCTCGACCCAATCGGAAGGGCTTTCCACAATTGGTTGCCACCAGGCTAAACAGGGGCGAGTCAGCTAGCTTGCAAAATGAAGAGATCCTGGCCCTTAAGTGGCGAGACAAACGGGATGTTTATGTCCTTCCCTCTATCCATAACAGCAGCTCATTGGAAATTCAAGGAAGACGCGCTGGTACCATTCGAAAACCTCAATGCATACACGAATACAACCTGTTCATGGGGGGAGCAGATTTAAATGATCAAATGCTACAGCCCTACATACCCAACAGAAGATCAATCCACTGGTATAAAAAAGTATCTTTCTACCTTTTACATATGGCCCTGTACAATTCCTACATCGTGTACCAGAAGTCCACACAAAGACCTGTCACCTTCTTACAGTATCAGGAAGAGATTATCACATCCCTCATCTATCAAGGAAGACCCGTACCTGAACAAATTCGCTCTGATGCAGTGAGCAGATTGCATGAAAGACATTTCCCCAATATCATCCCTACTACCCAAGCAGACCGCCATCCTGAAAATAAATGTTGTGTATGCTCCAAAAATAGAATTCGACGTGACACCCGATACTATTGTCCCCAGTGTCCCTCAAAGCCTGGTCTCTGTATAGGAGAGTGCTTCCGTATCTACCATACCGCACTACATTATTAGTGAAGTATGGTGAAGATATTTCTCTTTGTCCTCCTACCTGCTATTTCCCTGCCACGTTTCTGCCTGTATTCATTTTCCTGCTTTCCATCTGAACTGACCTTGGCCTGTTAATCGACCATGCCTCTGCCTTCTGCCTGAATTGACCTCGGCCTGTTAATCGACCATGCCTCTGCCTGCTGCCTGAACTGACCTCAGCCTGTTAATCGATTCTGCCTCTGCCTGAACTGACCTCAGCCTGTTAATCGATTCTGCCTCTGCCTGCTGCCTGAACTGACCTCAGCCTGTTAAATCGACCATGCCTCTGCCTGCTGCCTGAACTGACCTCGGCCTGTTAATCGACCATGCCTCTGCCTGCTGCCTGAACTGACCTCAACCTGTTAATCGATTCTGCCTCTGCTTGCTGCCTGAACTGACCTTGGCCTGTTAAATCGACCATGCCTTTGCCTGCTGCCTGAACTGACCTTGGCCTGTTAATCAACCATGTTTTCTGCCTGCCTCCTGGACTGATCTTTTTCCCTCCCACTTTAGTATTGGGATTCAAGACAACACAGGGGTCTCACTTATGTGAGGGGATCCAGAGTAGTGTTTCCGAGCAGAGAAAACCTTTTTGTTTTCTTTGGGTTTTGTAATTCCTGGATCAGGGTCTGGAGACCAGAGGCTTCAAAGAGATTTGGGTGGGACGAAGCCTCTACCCCTTTGTCCAGTCTTACCTAACCAAGGCCCTAAGCTTAATGTTCCTGCCTGGACCAATCCTTTGATCACGTCTCTGCTTGCTGTCTGTATCGACTGTGGCCTTTTTATGGACCATGTTCCTGTCTTCTTCCTGGACCACTGCTTTGCCTGTTTGCTCACCACGTCTATGCATGACACCGGTACTGACCCATCTGCACATCCCACTGGCTACCTTCTTGCGAGACACTGGTGCCCTCATCCTCTATAGACAACTGCACTGAAACCACAGGTACTCTTTGGTTTATCTTTTGTTCAACTTCTTGGTGAGTGAACATAGTGCTATGTGGGCAGCCACGTACCAGTAGATTGAGCTTTTAGGAACAGGCTGTAGGTGAAGCTACACTATGCTTTATGCTATGTTTTTTTTGCAAAATTTAGTAACATTGCATTAAAAAAAATAAATACATTTCCACATTTTCTGAAAATTTGTGTAAAAAATTAAGTCTTCAGAAGAGTCGGCTGCTCCAGGACCTCCAAAATTGTGATAGGTAGTCAAGAAATTTGATGTGTATTTTTTGCCCTTAGTATGCCTAAAGGTGCTTATTGGATGTGGGGCCCTATGTGGCTAGGCTGTGAAAAAGTCTTGCATGTGTG